AGCCCCCAAGGTCTGGAACAGCCTGCCATCGGAAGTGGTTCAAGCACCTACATTGAACACCTTCAAGAGTAAATTGGATGCTTATCTTGCTGGGATCCTATGACCCCAGCGAGCTGACTTCCTGCCCTTTGGGCGGGGGGCTGGACTCGATGATCTTCCGAGGTCCCTTCCAGCCCTAATGTCTATGAAATCTATGGTCACCACATCATATCTATGTTATTCAACGTGTAAGCATATTAACCCCTCAGGTATCCAGGAGAGCCCATAACCAGTGATTTTTGGTTCAACATGGTGAAAACGGGTAGATGCCATTTAAAATCTGACTACAAAATGACCTGCACCCTAAATCTAGGTGAAGGTCTTTATACCTTTCTTTTTTTGGATGCCAACTAGGACCCTGTCCTGTATTACTCAAATACAAAATGAGGTTCTCCCTGAGCTGGGGGAAAAAAGCCTGTACTCTTATATTCGCATACAAGAAAACCTCATTAAATACACTGTCTGTCATTAAACTGCTGCCAAAAAGAAGACATGCTCAGCAATGGACACCAACTATGAAGCTGATTAAATACAGCAAACATGGAGCATGCCTATGAAACACATGGCTCATAAAGGGCAAACATACAGATGGGAACTTACCACAAGAATAGGCTGGTACAGCTCATCTGAATAAGATATATGGTCGTGCCCATTGAGGACAGTCCTCCTCAGCACCAACTCTTTTTCAAATGGTGGTGAGTCACTACACTGAACTACATTTCAACTTCTTCTGCACTCCTACAGCTGAGCTGTGCCTTTCTTTCCCATTTCTAATGATTCCTGTTTCTTAACCATCCTTAAACGTCTAGCAAATATCACCAAACAGGGCCCCAAAAGTTCATCTAGAACATATTAGTTCAATGCTATGTAGTTCCTTGGGCTGGGTCCCAGCAGATCAAAATCATTTCAAGCCATGGTGACCCCATAGCTCAGAACTCTACTCAGTATGTGTGTGTACTCCAGATAACACCCCCAAAAGGATCTCCCACTCATGACTGGAATGGAGTGTTTCTTGCCATGAATCCTGGGATCCTCCAAAATTTTATATCCAGAGGCGGCACAGGACAACTTGGTCTGACCTTGGGCAATGCTAATCATGGAGGGCAGGGCCACGCTAATATGCAACAGGCTAAGAGAGAGGGTGACTAAGATCAACTAAGGCTACCTGAGTCTGAGAAGAGAAATTAATTTTTTTGGTGAAAACTTGGCCTTTCATTGATGGATGGCAGTCAATGGGAGTTTTGTTACTGACATCAATGAGATTAGGATTTTACCTTCTGAATTGCATGTATTAGGCATCTTTTCTATGGTTTCTTCTTCGTTAACATAAATGTTTTTGATTTAATGTTGTAGTTCACATTTCCTAATTTACTCAAAAGTTTTACAATAAAAACTGTCTTTTATTTTACCTTTAAAGTCCTATGTATATTTCAATTGCTATATATGTGCCTAATAAGAATACTAAATCAGTTTTAAATACAAGTACTTGTTATATTGCTGTCAAAATAAATGTTATTTAGCATACTCAGAGTGAAGTATATACCTGAAGGAAAATTCTTCCAATTCCACTCAACAGCTGAGGCTCTTGTTGTGGGTAATATTTGATGACAGTGTGATATGCATCTACAGCAAGCACATAGTCCTGAGGGATAAGAAGAACATGACTGAGTTTGATTTATGTAAACTTTTGTTTAACTGTGCATGCAGTAAACAGGTATCAAGGAGAACAAATCTAAAATTAAAATAGCTGCATATTGTGAGTGTTAATGGTATTTCCTTTCCATCTTGTTAGGGAACGGGTGGGCAAAATAGGGTCTGTGGGCCAAATCTCGCTCGCCAAGGGATTTTGTCCAGCCAGGCATGTGGGGCAGCTTGGGTTATGGTGCATGCGGCTGGTCCCACTGCTCCCGGACACACAGCAGGGCTGGGGTGGCATGGTGGCTGGACTTGCTTCCTGGCACCCCCAGTGGTGGTGACTCCTTCTGGCTTCTGCCGCTGCTGGACCCAGCCCTGCTGTCTAGGCACCCTGGCCTGTCTACCCTGCACCCACCCCTGGGAGCAGGGCACATGTTTGGGTAGCTGGGATGGAGCCATGGGCAGATAGGGAATAACATTTGGGAATGGGATGGGTCAGGAATCATAAGATAGTGTGGGGTCAGGCCTGGGGCAGAACCGTGATCTGCTCACCACATGTCCCTACAATGGGTGTTGGTTCTGCAGGGAAGGGCATACAGGGAATGGATCACTGTTCTACCCTGGGCCCCAGCCCTGCCCACCTGTTCCACTCCTGGACGCACCTCCCCACCTGTCCACAGCCCCATCACATCTGCCTGGTCACATGCCCTGTCTGTGTGGATCCTGGCATGGAGACCCCCAGGATCACTGGACTGTGACAACACAGGGCTGGGGCCCAAGCTGTGATCTGTTCCCCGCGTACTTCTGCCCACAGAACTGGTACCCATTGCATGGGTGTGCGGGGAGTGGATCATGGCTCTGCCCCAGGGCATGGCTCCATGCTGTCACTGCCCACAATCCCAGGCCCATCCACCCATCTTGCTCTTGGATGCCACTCCCTGCCCATTCATAGTCCCATCCCAGCTGCCCGGCTTAGAGCACAGCCACTTAGTGAGTTTTGGTGAGCTGTTGCAGGGGAAGAGGGAGGAAGAGGTGTTGACCTGGTGCAGCAGTGGGGTGCTGACTTGGCTTGTGACAGCTCACCAAAGCTTCCTGTATAGCTCTGCAGCCCAAATAATTGCCCATCCCTGTGCTACGGGATAGCTGAATACAGTAACGTTTTTACTGTTCAGTCGTTTGGAAACATCCAACTCACCTAATGATAAAGTGACACACTTTCCTTTAAATTTCTTTTTTGTTTTGTATTCTTAGTCTATGTTCAGCTAAATGACTCAAAGAATCTGAACATTTATTTTTCAGTTTCAAAAATGATTTAAGATGGGATTTTCAAAAGTGCCCAAATTACTTTTGGGAACAAAAAAAATTTAGTTAGTTTTAGTCAATGGAGTTCATATGCTTAATTGATTTAGGTACTTTGGAAAATCCTGCACAGAAATTGGAATATAAGAATTTATGACGGGCTACTGAGAATCAAAAAGATAGGGACTAGAAGACTCTTTGTAATCTTTCCAGGCTGTACATACAAGCATCTGAAGAGCACCATTATACACTCAGCCTAGTAACCTTTCACTTTTTCCCATAAATTTATAGTGGTTACTTTACCTTTCTTTAATAGTCAGAAGCTAATTTCTAGGGTGCTTTTCCTGCCTTCTCATATTGTCTGTTATTGAGGGTAGAACGTGGACTGGGCACTGCATTTTTTTCTAATTCTGCATTTAAAATGATCCCTGACCCTGATTATTACTTGTCGCATACCAGTTAAAAAAAAAAAATCAGAGGTCTTTGGAGTATAATCAATTTATGAAAGGGAATATGACATGGTTGCCTTTGATGGCAAGGGACTAGACTGACTTGATGATCCAGGAAATCCCTACCCTGCTTTTCCAATTAATTTCCAAATTATGAGCATATGCACCAGAAACAATGATCACTTTGTAATGTTTAATAATTGACATTTGGAGCTTTTATTATTTTCACTCTGATGCACTATATCAAGATAAACATGTCTATATTTCTATATCAAAGATAGCAGATGGAAACAGCAAATAGGGCTTTTGTTGGTTTTAAGATTAAATCATTTTTTTAGTCTGTTTTCTAAGTTTTGGATGAACCAACTACACAAGTGACATTTATCCTGTTTCCTACTCTCCCAAATCTGCAGGATGTTAGGAATTTCTGTACTAGTTGCAGACATTCTCGTTGAAGGACTCAACTGAAAATGATGCTCCTTTGGGCTGGGCGCTCTATAAGTGGATGTCACAAGAGACCGTTCCACAAAGCATGGGAGTAACTCTGATAGTGGAAATGGAAGTGGAACTCACTAAACTCTTCCTCTATAGGCACCACCAACCTTGCATTACATATGAACAGCTCTTAATCCCTCAGAATCTGCATGGGAAAGGCTTTATGCTCATTAACAATGGCTAGACATTCCTCCAAAAATACTAACACTACACTTATGAGAACAACGTTGCTTTCTGGACAAATAAGTTTATTATATCAAATTCTGACCATTCGGAAGCTCAGAAGGGCAGCGCCCTCCATACTCTGAACTCAGGCAGACTCCCACACATAGATCATATCAAGTCTGCCATATATTATTTTAAAAAGGACAGTTCCTTTAACTAAAGCAAAATTAAAAGTATACATTTCACCCCCACATAGGTCATCATAAGTAGGATTTGAACTCAACCCAATCCACAGGTCAAGAAATTGTCTACTCCAGAAGTAGGATTTTTCATTTGATCGTTAGTTCTGTAATCTAGTAATTCAGACATAATGACTAAATGGAACACTGCTAAAAGTTAACAATATTTAAAAAAAAAAAAATTAAAAATGGAAAAAATTCAATTTTTAAATTATTTTGACTTTTATCTACTTTGTTCCAATTTAAGTCCCCAGAGACCACTCCAACTGGGACAATATAAATGAAGACCTAAACTGTCTACAATCCACTAAAATAATCTAAATTAAATACGTGGAACACTGTTGTTGCCAAAGTTTTAAGGAAAGTCACACTACTTAACTAGAAGTTATTAACTAAACACCTGGAAATGCTTAACTTGAAAGCAGTAGCCTCTTCTGCTGGTACAGCAAAACACTTTCTTTAGTCTTCATTCAACTCATTCAGTTCAATAAATAGTTAATTGAAAGGTCAGAAACCAATTGGGAGTTGATAAAGCAGGAAAGTATTTTTTTCTTCTGAGCTATGAATAAAGATGAGTTGAAAGAGGATGAAATCTACTGGCTCTTCTCTCTTAAAAGACATGGAATCCAGAAACATTCAATTCAGTTCATTTCAATTCAATAACTACAGATCATTTTTTCTTTCTTAAGTCTCCATTATGTTTAAGATCATTTCATTTAACTCTTGGAAAACAAATTTAAAATGCCATTTTTAAATTTTAGTTGAATACCAATTTCCATTCAGGTGTGGCTTACCACACAAATGTGAGTATAAAAATAATCTAATAAATAAGAAATGCATCTATTTCCTATCATTTTCTAACATAAATACATGCAAAATTAAGAAACTGAATAAATATAAATGAATCTCCACAATTTTGTATACTCTATTTTTCTGATTAGCACAAAAATTAATGTACAAAATTAGGTATAAAGTTACATCTGGTTGAAAATCATTTAAATGGATTAATGATTATCAACTAATGTGAATCAACTCCTCATCAGGAAAAATAAGTAAAAATGTAAAACAATAGTAAAATTGAATGATTTAATACAATCACTAATTTTTATCATGATTTAAATACTTTGCTTTAGCATAGCAGATTGCTGTGTGTGGCTTAACAGTGATCCGAATCACCGTCCCAAGTCGATTCGGCAGAATCCGATTCGGAGATTCAGCCACAGCCGAATCAGCCCCACCCCCCTGCGCACTCTCAATGGCTGCCCTGCCGCTCTCCCACCTCCTGGCTTTAAAAAAAAAAAACAAAACAAGCCTCCACTCACTGGCTGCTGCCAGGCCAGGGGGAGGCGGGGGTGTGATCCTTGTTGCACCCCGATGCCCCATGCTGTGTGGGGGGCTCTGCCATAAGCCCCCTGTCCCCCTCCTCCTCTCCCATGGCTGCCCTGCCCTGCCCAGCCCTTAAAAAAGCCCTGACTCACTGGCTCTTGCCAGGCAGGGGGCGATCCCTGCTGCCCCCCACTGCCCTGCATTGTCTGGGGGGCTCTGCCATAAGCCCCCAGAACCCCCGAGGCTGCTGCAGCAGCTGGTGAAACCGGGTT